TCTTCAAATAAAGCCCCACCCGAAAATATAATTCGATTTAATTTATAATCTTTTGTAAAAAAAAAAAATGAATCAAATATTAAGTACCCTAAAGGATTTTTCCTTTTTCAAATTTAACCAAATATATCCTCGCGTGCCTTGAAATTTTGGTATGCTATTATTAATAAAATAATTTCAACTGAAAAAGAATATGCCGATCGAATCATTATAATCTGTTAATTTCTAAAATTTAGTTTTTCTGTTTACATTTTTATTATTATCATATTTTGAGCTAAATTTAATTCAAAATAAAATAATTATAACTCCCACAGATTAATCGTAGATGTCAAAAGCTGAATATAGGGGAAATATACATTGCTAACTAATCAAAAACAGTAATTGAGTTTGATTTAAGTTCTAAAATTTTGTGTAATATGAACACATATGATGTAAATAATGATCGGAATTAAAATAAGCTAATATACAACATATGTATTATTCTCGCAAAAATCTTTACCATCTACGTCCTACAGCCACTCTGATTTTAGCTTCAAGGGAAGCATGAATCAGGGCACATATTTTCACTAACCAAAGAAAAAGAGAAGGAAAAAATAAGCTAGTCCTTACAACATCTCATATTTAACTGCTTTCATGGCTGCAGGTTAAGAAATGGCAAAAGCAAAGTTATCATCTGCTCTCCCTGATGATGAAGAAGAGGCTTCGAAGCTTGCTGATCTGCGCGTCCACTCAGAATTCACTTGATGTGAATGATAAGAACTACTAGTACTCTGAGCATCCGCATATCCTTCCCTAAGTGATGGTAACATTTGCATTGTTCTAGCTTCTGGGTCACCCTCCAGTTGTATATCTTCTATCATCCTAATTGCATCCCAGATTTCTATTCGCTGCCCAGGATTGCCTTCAGTGCAAGCAGTGCCAATGTAAAGCAGCTTATCCATTTCGTTAACTGAATTTGTAGAGGAGCTTGCAATGTCAGGATCAAGCAATTCAGATGCTCTCCCCTCAGCAGCTGCTGATGCCACCCATTCAACTACGTCACTTCCATCACCTATAGTGTTAGTTAGATATTGACAAGGGAATTTTCCAGTGAGGATCTCGAGAACGATGACTCCTAGACAGTAGACATCACACTTAGGGGATAACTGGCCGTATTGAACAGCTTCTGGAGCTTTACAAGCAAATAGTACTTCAGCAACATTGTTAGTATGGATCAAAGGCCTAAATCCATATTCTGACAGCAAAGGCTCATTGTCAGGATTGAGAAGAACATTGCTTGATTTAAGATTTCCATGGGGTAACTCATGGGAACTAGCAAGTTCTTTATGAAGATATCCCAACCCTCTTGCTATTCCCTTAATAATCTTTAGCCTGGTAGGCCAATCGAGTTTAGCCGGTGAGCTTCCTCGATCACCTGAACAAACACAAATGCCTACTTATCAGAATCCTATTGAGAAACACAATAAAAGACTCACACAATATATACATATATATTGTAGAGAGGAAAGAGGAAACACAATCAATAAAAGATATATTATAAGACAAGAAATTAAAATATGAAAAAATGAATTCATTTTATACAAATGGGCTGTCTTATATAGGCATTCAATTTTGGCCACTAATTTCTCTACTAACACGCTAGCTTCTCCATCAACACATTAACTTCTTTACTAATACATTAATTTATCCACTAACTAATACATTAACTTTACTAACATTCTTTTAACTGAATAAAAATAAACTTTAATATCTTTTTTAAGAAATCAAATTAAAATAGATAATAGACTCAGTCAAATAAAGATAATGTGTTGGTTAGTGTTGTAATTTTAACAATTCATCCACAAAACTTCTAAGATTCACAACTGGAATCAATGTATAAGCCTATATGAGTGTCATACCATGTAATACACTAAGTAAGCTGCCACTGGGGATGTACTCATAAATCAACAGCTTCTCATCTTTTCGATAATGATAACCGAGAATCGGTAAGATATTTATGTGTCTTAGCTGGCCAAGCGTCTTTATCTCTGCATCAAATCCATCTCTACTCAATGCATTCATCTCCCTCATCCTCTTTACCACGACTGCAACTCCATTAGCCATTACAGCCTTGTAAGAACACCCAAGACCCCCATTTCCAAGCAGTTCAGCAGCTGCCTTCATCAAATCAGGCAATCCAAACGCACCCTTTTCATTATTCACCACCACAAGCTCGCCAATTCCACCACGGTTAGACCCTTTACTTCCCGAGCTCCCATGCTTTCTGCTTAGCTCTGGTTCTCTTCTGTTTGGCAGCGAAACCTGCACCTCAACTGCCTCTGGCTCAACATCGTTTTGATCTTCAATTGTATCAGATTCCACCTCCTTGTTTCTCCTCCAATTAATTATGAAAAAAATTACTGCCAAAAGTAGTAGAATTCCTAATGTTACAAATGCAACAATATACTTTATCTTGCCCTCACCACCTTTTCCAACTGGAGCCGGAGCTGGAGCAGGAGCTGGCTCCTGAACTGCATCCATTGTTCTACAATCCTTACCCAGCTTTTCTCCACAAAGACCCGGATTCCCTTCAAAGAAACGGACCTCAAATCGGGCTAAAGCTGGAGGAATTTCCCCTTTCAGATTGTTGTTTGATAAATTGATAGCATTCAAAGTTAATTGTTGAAAAGGTGGAATAGGCCCGCTGAATTGGTTATTTTCAAGACGTAGCTCAAGAAGATTAGGTAATCTAGACAAGGACGATGGAATTGGACCTGAAAACATGTTATCAGAAAGGAAAACTTTCTTCATCGAATCCATCGTGGAGAAGTAATCCGATGGAATCTCACCTGAAAATTGATTCCCCGACAAGTAAATCGCCCTCAAAGCACCCAACCGATTGAATTCCGGAATGGAACCCGAAAACGAATTGTTCATGACACTAACGCTCCGCAAACCTGGGATATCGGCCAAGGCGCTGACGTCAATTTTCCCTGATAGTCCCATTCTCTCGAGTTGCAGACCTAGAACAAAGCCATTGTAACAAATAAGCCCATTCCACGGACGATTCCCATCGCAGGGCGCCGTGCTATTAGGACCCCAAGAAGCAAGAGAACTCGGGTTGGCCAACGATGTCTTGAACCTCAACAAGGCTTCTGTTTCAGTGACTGAATTCGAGAAACGAGATAAAGCTAAAATGATTGATAAACCGAGCAGAAATGGCCGGAGAAGCCAGGCTACGGCCATTAGTTAGCCGGAAAATTGAAGGTTGAAGACGGTGGATTAGCTTTGTGGGGTTTTGTCGTGGTGGAAATTTTTGGCGAATTGTTCATCTGTTTTCTTCCGCTCATAGTGAGTGGAAAGGGATTGAAGACAGCCATGGAAGGAGAGAAAGTTAAGCTTCAAATTTTTGTTTTTTGAATTTGTCAACCTGAAAAACCGTTATGGTCGTTATTTCCTGGCTTAACGAGTGTATATTTCGGTGTTATGCAGTGTACTGAAACTCCCATCTGCTCTTTGATGATAGCAATGTTGTGGGCCCAATCAAGTCCAATAGGAATGCCCACGTTTCGAAAGGAGAGAGTCTGAGTTAATTTCCCAATTTCCATAATCCATTCTCTGTATTTTAGTGAATAATTAATTTTGGTTTTTTTTTGAAGAATAATAATCAATTTTGGAATTGTTATATGAACTAGAAAGACCAAAAATAGTTCCCAACAATAATTTCATTCCATTTAAGTTTATAATATTTAATATTAATCATTTTTTAATTATTTAATATAATAAAAATAATAAATGTAATTAATATTTAACTACCATTTTTAATACAAGTTCAAAACTAATAGAATTGAACCGAACCAAAACCAATGAAGAAATTTTTTTTGTAATACTTGGTCCCGAAATTTGGTGCAGAATTAATTTTATAAATTAAAATTAATATATAAAAATATAATTTTTAAATTTATAAATTTTTATTTAATGTAAAGATTAGGAAAAAATAGGTGGATGATATAATTGAAAATAATTTTGGGAAAAATATGTAAAAATTTGGGTTCAAAGTGTATTTTTGAAAGAAAAATCAGAAACTGGATGTCAAAACATAATTTAAAAAAAATGAACCACATAGGACCGTCCAATCAGCAGTCCTGACGAATCAGAGCATGCCGCGTGGCAAGGCACGTGGACTCTGTAACGACTCCGGAAATCCAAAAGGAAATATATAATAATTTAAGTGCGGAAGCGAAATAAAAGGTTAAGGTTTACATCCCTTACACAATAATTTAAAAGTACTAAACAAACATAACAGAATGAATTCTCTAAAAGAAACACGAGAAAATAGAAAAGTAAAGAAAAATATAAAGTATCTAACATATACTCGCAATCTTCTTGCAGATCGGGCTTTGGAACCAGGTCCTCCTAATAGGAAATGGTTAAATAAGAGGTGAGCAACACTAGCCTAATAAGGACATCACATTATATCACAAGCACAGAAACAAATGTTTGTAGAAAATCAAAACAACCAATAAAACATTAGATTTAAATCAATACATTTATTTAAAATAAAATCATTTACTTTTTTACTTACCATTAGGGAATTTATGAAAACAAATTACAAAAGCAATAATATCATACAGATCATAAATTCATGCACGACCAGCAACATAGAATATATCATAAATTCACATTTATTAACAATAAACAAAATCGTAACCGTTTCTCGTTTCACCAGCCTACTAGTATCCATGATGATCCATAGGGGTGTCCCCACTATACGTGAACCCTTTTCCTTAACAATCTTAATTACATATCCGATCTCATAACCTGTTCGGTATGAGCGCCAATACATTAAACTCCAATACCTCATTCGGTATGAGGGTGAAGTGGGTCGTCCCCATACCCCGTCCGGTATAAGTGCCAAATTACCAAGTCTTCATACCCCGTCCGGTATGAGACAACGTTCACGATAGGGTTCCCTATGAACCCGGTCCGTCCACCATCTCCCAAGATATCTAGTGATGCTGTCATCTTATCTATTATTAGATCACACTCCTTTCCTGTTTTCCCTTAATCTCCGTTATCAAATCAAATGTTATCACATAAACAAATAAACATGCATCCGACAATGCAATCATATTTTAAATCCCAAAATCGAACAGCGATCAAGTAAGACAGTAATACATGCATTTAAACCATAAGGCAATAAACCAGATACTATCATGCTTTTATACTGTAAAATAAATCAACAGAACATAATGTCCGGTTCAGGATCCATTAGCAATTCGTAATTAATTATGCACATCTATTTAATTTGTATAAAATACCGTATTATTATTTATTCGAACTTCAATTCTATGATAAAAAATAGGGTGAAGGGTCCTTACCTGATTTGACACCGAAAAGCTAAATGGTTTACTGCGCCTATGGGCGGTCCCTGGGTTCTCTGAATTTTTCTTCAGAAACTGAAACGCATTTACTGTACCCACAAATGTCCCAAATAACAAAAATCAGTCCCAGGGCCTACTTGGCCAATTTCAAAAATTCGGCACGGCGGCTCCGCCGTGCTCCGGCGACTGCTTGCGGCGGTGATCCACCTCGGGTTGGCTATTTTCGGCCTTTTTTGGCCAAATTCAGCCAAATTTACATAAATTCCTATGAGAAAACACACTTAGGGCCTCGGGACAGTGGGGCTCTTCGGTGTGGCGGCTCTTCTGACTCACGTTGCAGTTGGGCATTTTGCTCCGGTCAACCTGTAGAGAAGAAAACGGTGATCACAATGGTGGAAAAATTAAACGAAATTGGAATCGAGAAGGACCTCATTGGAAGCGGTTTGTGAAATTTTCTGCGGCGGCGGTGGCAGGCCTCGACGACATTTTTTCGACCAATTAACCGGTTCTTTCACTCTGATTTAACCATTGATGGGTTTAAAATTGAATTTCGTGCAATAGGAGAAATTTTTACCTCTTTTGACGATCGAAAAAAGTTCCGGTGCGGCGGGGGGTGGCAGCGGTCGGCTCCCCGGCAATTGGGCTATCTTCTCAGGTGAGGGGTTCTGGCGGCTAGAGTTTGGGTTTGGGTGCGGATGGGGTTATTTATACCCATTCACTTTTGATCTGGGGCGTCCATCACTTTTGATATGGACCGTCCGATCGCGATTAAATAGAGAGTGAATATGAATCGTTCATCGTGATTTAATCTGGGCCGTCCGTGCATGATTCAATCTGGGTCATCCGTGCGCAATTCAATCTGGGACTTCTGTGCGTGATTTCAATCTGGGCCGTCCGTGCATGCGGGAGCGGACTTCAGCCATTCGATCATGCGCTCGCGGATCGCCCATGTGGCTCCCCCCTGAGTGGCCTCCCGCATCAACGCTTCTACCACATGGCGCGTCCTAGTTGGTCGAGACTGTTGACCGGGCATCTAACGTGATGCAATTTTTTTAATTATATTTTGACCCTCAATTTTTTATTTTTCTTTCAAAAATACCATCAGAACCTGAATTTTCACCCATTTTTTCCAAAATTATTTTCAATGTAATCCTTAACTAAATTTTTTCACCATTTTATTATTATTATTTTTTTTATTAAATTAAATTAAAATAAATTCAATTCAATTAATAAATAATTATATTTATAAAAAAATAAAAAATAAAAAATTAAATATTGGGTGTTACAGACACGATGCCATGCAGGAGGCCACGCTGGCAATCCGTCTGTCCGTGATCGAACTGTCCGGATTTGTTCCAACACGCGTGGACGGTCTGGATTTGTTCCCTCTTAAGGCGCGATCGGACGGTTGTGATTAAATGCGATGAATGGTTCAAATTCGTTCCCTCTTTAAACGCGATCGTACAGTTCAGATCAATTTATGGTGAACAGTCCAGATTTATTTATTTTTAAATACGATCGGATGATCGAGATCAAACGCAATAGACGACTTAGATTAAAGGGAGACGTGTATAAATATCTCACTTTACACCGAGGCCTCTTAACATGTTTTCTCGCATGAATGAACATGAAATCGGTCGAAATCAGCCAAAACTAACCGAAAACGGCTAGTTCGAGGTAAATTGTCACCGCAGGCGGTAGTGCCGTCACTGGAACACGGCGGTGCCGCCGTGCTGGAATTCCAGAATTGGCCAGAAAATGTTTTTAACACTCATTTTTGAGTTTTTGGGGTATTTCTAGGTACTTGAAACATGTCATAATCTTCGAAGAAAAATTTAGGGAACCGGGGGACCATTAGTAGGCGCAACTGAGAGTTTAGTATTTCGGATACCGATTCGGGTAAGAATCCCTCATCTTATTTATTGTTATGGAATTGAAGTTTAATTATAAATAATACGGTATTTTGCGTAATTTAGAAAATTTTGATAATTAATTACATGTTACTAATGGAGCCGGAACCGTTTATTTATCACTGTTTATCTTGTCTTAACTTATTGATTGATTTTATAGTTTTAAAGACATAATAATATGCTAGAGTTTGTAAGATAATTCGGTTGTGTTTTCTTGATACATGTATTGTTTATTTTATGTGATTTACAATTAATTTGTGAAACTAAAAATTAAATGTAAACAAAAAATTGCTTGATTAAGTGAATGATTGAATGATAGCCTTATTGGATATGCTGAAAGATGGTGGACGGACTGGGTACATAGGGAACCCTACCGTGAACGTTGTCTCATACCGAATAGGGTATCGATGATTGGTATTTTTGATGCTCATATCGGACGGGATATGGGGACGGCAGGTTAGTTGACAATGTTGAATAAGAGTTTATGCATAGTGAAGACATCTCTATGAACCCCCATGGATACCAGTAGGCAGATAAAAAGAAAAAATTATTGTTTTGGTTAATTGAATATGAAATTATAATGTTATTTGTATTATTACCTCTACAGGTCGGTTTTGAAAGTATCACTACGGTAAATATGTAATAAATAATTTTATTGATAATAAATGAATTTATTCAAATTAAGAGCTCTATTAGTTATTTTTATAATTTTTACAAATCTTCATCTCTGTATCAGTGAGTAATGTGACATTATTATTGGAGTAGTGTACCTTACTATTTCATTAATCATTTCAAATCAAAATGATCAAGATTTAGATCCCGATCCATAATAGAATTGCGAATAAGATGCTAAGTTGTTTATTTTTTATTTATTTTTTTGATTTTTCGTTTGTTCTTTTAGAAGGGTAATTCCCGTATCCCTATTAGGTATTTTAAATTATTGTGTAAGAAATGTAAATTTTAATTTTATTATTTCGTTTCCGCATTCAATTTATAATTTTTTTTTTAAGTTCCGAACATTTATATTTTTATACAAAATACTAGATGAATATAATTTCATTTCAATTCGAAATATATTAAAATTTGTTTTATTTTTCTAATTATATTATTTATATATTTTATTTTATTTGCATAATATTTTTAATATATATTTATGTCTTTATTATTTTAATTTTTAATATTAAAAATATTAATCGATTAAATGATAATAGACCAAAACTTTAAGCTAAAAATTTGTAGACCAAAGACCATGTTGAATATTATTTGTTGCAATATAATCCAATCTAATTATTTAGTTGGGACCAAATAATGCCTACTTCTAATTTTGAAGCATTATATTAATTTAGGAATGCACGAGAAAACTTGAAACTCAAAAAAATAAAAAATAAATAAATAAATTCATAATTACACGTGCCAAAAAAATATTCAAGTCACGGACGGATTAACCATTATAAGAAAAGTAACATTTCTCATAATTACTTGATGTGGGTTAACAAAATATTAAAAAAATTTAACGACCAATTTTTAATTATCTAAGTGTTAATTTATAAATTAAATTTAAAATTATTTGTTTTAATTATTTTTTATAACCAAATTATAAAAGAATTTCATCCTATTCCATTTTCAATTTATATATAAAATCATGGTAAAATTATTAGAGGAGGGAAATGTAAAAAGATACCGCGAAGTTTTTGGGTACAAATAATTTTTAAAATTTATTTATTTATTTTAAATTTCAGCCGTTTTTAGAATAGCTTGCTTAATTATATTCTTTTGCATAAATTTAAAATGTGAAAAAATTTAATTTTAGTGTTAGATAATAATAACATAAAGTATATGCTACAAATTTTTTTGTAATTATTTACTTTATGTTATGATTAATTGAACTAGAATTTTGGTTTATAAAGATATGGACATCGTGAATCACATGAAGCACGGTTGAGTCCCTGCGAGCGAGTTAAGCTGGAATCCAGATAAAAGCAATCAGATGTTGCCACGTGGAAAAAGATGGAATGGTCAAAGTGTCATCTTAATGCATCAAAGTTTATCACGTGCTACGAATAGTTTTTTTTTTTTTTTTAAATATCAGATTTTTGGAGCATTTCACGAAGAAACGTGAACGGCTCTGGTCGGACAAAATAATGGACCACGTGCTGTTTGTACAGACTGTTATTGTCGGCAAGGGAAAAAAAAAAAAGTCTTACCAAACGGAGCCTAACTCCGTCAGTTACTCCAGTCAGATTCTCATTCCTTAAAAATTTTATAAAATCATCCTTTATTTTACATTAAACAAGTTTTCTTTTAATAATTTTATATTTTATATTTTTAATTTATGGAATCTAAATGCTATAAAATATTACTATTGTTACCAGATTCACTACAATTTAATCTAATTTTATTAGTATCTTATTATCAACACATCAATGAATTAATAATAAAATTAAATATAATAAATAATTTAATATTAATTTATAAAATAATTAGTTATATATTTTTTTAATAAAATTTAATTTTTTAAATTTTAAATAAAATATAAAAATTTTAATTATTAAATTACTGTATTATTAATTCATTAAAAGTCATTAGCAATCGATACCACCAGCTAGTTGTTATTTTTTTTCAACAAAAATTAAAAAAGAAAAAAAAAATCAGTGGTACAAATAACTTGATGTCCATTTATAGTTACCTCTAACAGAATTTTCATTACTATTTTATATACAAATAATTTAATTACACACAAACGTGTAAATTAAAAATTGTTGACAATAATTCTAAAGCCTCAAGTGGGTCAAATTTCACATTGAAATTTCCATTGGAGTTAATAGAATAAAGTGTAAAGGATAACAAAATTTATGGAGTGATTAGATATAGATTTATGAGTTTCTTTTTTTTTTATTTATAAAAAACAAAAATTTTAATTGAATTTTTTAAATCATTATGACATTTTTCAATAAAAATATATATTTTTAACTGAATATATTATAATTTATTAAAATAAAATTCAATTTAATTATTATAACTCTATAAATATATTAATAAATTATAAATTAGTAATCATCAAATTATAATATAATTATAAATTTACGAGTTTTATGTTTTTATTAAAATTTATATTCTTAAAATTTACATTTAATATAATTATTTTAACCACAATATATATGTAATCAGAATATAGATTATATCATATTATACTATATATGTAGATGAGCAAAAACCACATGTGTGAAAGGTGGAAAAATTTAAGGAGAAAAAATATTATATTATATTTATGCACCACGTTTTTCTTCTTTATTATTTTAAAATTTTGTACACTTGAAAATGACTGGATCCACCAGACTTGATCAAAAATAGAACAGCACCCACCCACCTTCCTACTTTTATTTTATATATATTTTTCCTCCACGGGGCCCCACTATTTTGAAGGAAAAAAAAACGTGCTTCAAAACAGGAAACTAATGTTAATTTCAAGGTAAATTTCAGGAATCTCTTTAATATTTTAAGAAATACCCAAAAAGCCCCAACACTTTTTTAAAATTAAACAAAAACCACTTTATTTTATAAACTATTACATAGTTTACTTTACTCTTTGATGGTTTTAAATTTTAATTTTTGATACTAAATTTATTATAATATATTAAATTGATTAAATAACATTAATTCATTAAATTTAACAGTCGACAATTTAACTGAAATATTGAAAAAAATATTTCAGCAATTTAATTAATAAATAAATAATTATGGTAAATTTGGTATTTAATGTTAATAACTTTAGAAATCTGGGATTTTCTGTATATTTATAGTCTTTGAGGGGGTTTCTGTAATTTTCAAACTTATTCCGAGTACAATTAAGTTGCGGAGAGAACATCCTCTCCTCTCAAATGCATAATAATCTGCTCCTTCCCATTTAAATATCCCACAGATCAACCTTTCTAGCTCTGAAGAAATCGGACGCTTGAGTTTCAGAGAAGACAAACATGTCGAATCTAGACCAAAGGTCTGGCAAGGCGCCGGAAAAGCCTAATTTTTCTCAGAAATGTAATCTCTTGAGCCGGTACTTGAAGGAGAGAGGGAGCTTTGGAGATATCAGCCTTGGCATCACTGGGAAAATTGAGCCCAAAGGTATAATTCCTTCCTTTTCTCTCTGTTTTTTCTTTTTTGATTTCTGGGTTTGAGTTTTTCTTTTCTCAGGTTCTGATGTAGATTGTGAAAATACCATCTTGGTTACTGTTTGTTTCCCGAGAAAATTGAGGGGACTGAACCGGGTCTATTCCGATTTTCTTTCTGGGTTTCTAACTGAGTGAATGTTTAGGTGATGGGCAGCGAGGTTTTCTATTTTTTTTTTTTTTTTTTTTCCTTTTTTTTTTTTTTCGTTTAATCATTATTCAAGGCCAGAGATCTACTCATTGCATGCAATTGAGTAAATAGATTCATAACCCTAACTTATTTAAATTTTTTCTTGTCAAAGAAAATAAATTCTCTATAAATTCATGGGTGTTGGAAAGGAGTGGTTGATATTATTTTAGAGGCAAAAAAGAAAAATAATTTAGGTTGCTGGTTTATCCTGTTCACAGAAACTGGTGAATCTTTAGATAAAATGTCTTATACCTTGTTCGTTTTGGTAATTTTTTAGGTCAAGAAATTTCTAACAAGCTTCCGGGAACGACGACAAACAACTTGTTGCCTAACATGGAAAATTCAACTGAGGATTCAAGACAAAACGTCGTCGCATCATCCCCCAATGTGAAACCTGGAGATTTCTTTCAACACCTTTCTTCTGCCTCTGCTTCCATCAAAGACACCTCCATCACCACCACTATCAATAATGGTGATTTAAGGTATGTTTGCCTCAACTTTCCTTTTTTCTTTCTTTTAAATGCAGAGTAAGCTGAAAATGAAACATACCCTTGATTGATATAAAAGAACTTGGTACATATGTGTGTATACATATATATATATATATGTATATAAAAGAATTAACCGTCATTGTCATAAACTTGATTTGGGAAAACTAATGGGAGCATTTGGCTTTTCTTGATTAGGAAACCATCAGTGGCGGCGGAGGCAGATCCTGCTCAACTGACCATTTTTTATGCCGGACATGTCCTGGTATACAATGACTTTCCGGCTGACAAGGTCAAGGAGATAATGGAGCTAGCTAAGCAAGGAAGCTCTAGTATTAACAATGCCAGTATTGGTAATGACAGAATTAATAACCCGGCCTCTGGCAATCCTGTTGTTCCTGATTTGAATGTTCCTTCCACATCTGGGAATGAACATAATACCCAACTTCACCATATAGAACGTATAGCACGAAGAGCTTCACTTCACCGTTTCTTCGCCAAACGAAAGGACAGGTAAAATTGCATGTTACCCGCGCAAAATTGTGTGTTAACCCATGTTACCCACTTGTTAATATGATGAGAATGATTTGGATTCTTCATGGGATATAATTCTATTTCAATTAAGTATGAGAATCTATACTAGATTATATAACTTTTTTTTGTAACTAATTTTAGTTTGAATAAACGAAATTGCTAAGTTGAATCATCATTCTTGCTTTTCAGGGTTGCTGCAAAAGCGCCATACCAAGTAAATCACCATAATGGTGGTCTTCATCCTCCCAAACCGGAGGATGTCAACCTGTTACCTGAGGAAGGTCAATCATCACGAGGCGTAAACCATGAAGCTTCGAAGCAGCTGATTCCGGAACCAAATGATCATCTAGAAAATGCTATGCAGGAGGAAGGACAATGTTCAAAGCATCTTGACCTAAGGTTATAGAAAAGATTTGTTCGATAATCTTGTAGGTTAGGATACCAATAGCTTTTACTCATTTAGTTCAATTAGTCCACATTTGATCAAATAGAAACTTGTTTATGTATACATATTCTTCTTTTCCAATGGGAGTATATAAGATGATTTTTCTATTCTTATTCTCATGGACCCATGTATGCTTTGTATCTTATTTTCATGTTCTTGTGTAATGCATGAAGGTTAAGCTTGATTCAAGATCAATTTCTAGAGTATGAATGATAATGAATACCATGGTCAACAATACAAGAGGAGCTAGCGATTGGAAAATTTGTGTATTTAGGGCTTCGTTTATGTAGTTATTCCGATTTTAGTTTAAAATAAAGATTTAAATTTCAGTTCATGTCTTAATTAAGATTAACATATAATGTCTTTAAAAAAATATATATTTTTTTAATAAAAAAATTATAGTCTAATATGAACTATCTATGTACTTTAGAATTTAGATAATTTAGGTGTTCAAACTAATAACATTATATTAATTGATTAAGAATCAAATAATTAAAGAAAATACATGTACTAAATACGAAAAATTCAAAACATAAAGCATTAAATTGTATCTTGTTATCGAAACAGAGAACAAATTAATTAACTTAATAAGCTATATAGTTTAGTCTCAAAAAATTAAATTAGACTGAATTATAGACAATGTCAGAATTAAGTTGTATGGTGGTTTGTGTTATACTTTTGGTTACACTTTTGATTTGTGATAAGATTTAAAAAATAGTTCATTCATTTTAGTTCTCTGTTTTTGGATTAGACTAAACCGATTCATAAAATTAAACAAATTGTTAATTTATTATTTTTAAAAAATTAATCTAACCCTTAATATTTAATAAATGTAGATAGAATAAAAGGTTATCATTATAAATTTATGATAAATAATTACATTAAAATCTGGTGAATGAATTGTTGTTATATTTTATTAATTTAATTATTTATGAATTATATGAAATTAAATGATTATATATATATATATATATTTTTTTTTTGGGTTTGTTTTATTGATTTTATTAACTTTTATTAAAACAGTTCGTTTAAAGAGAACATTTAATTTAATTTAATTTTTTTTAAAGAATATATAAACAATCAAATTCAAACTAGACTGAATTGAATCATTTTGAATCAATATCAGAATTCTTCTTATGCAATCCATAAAACCCGACGTCGTTTTGTAGCCAACAACGAAAAAGTTGATCTTGCTTTTCTATTGCTGTACCCATAATTGGGCTGAACCAAAACCAGCCACGGGCCACTGCAAACACGTCGAATTTCTATTGGCGGTTAGTACAAGTCATTTGACAGACTCGTCATTTTATTTATACTTCCAGCATAAAAATCCTCCTATAAATACCTTCCTTGTAGCCATTCATTTCTTCTCTCTGAGCCCTCTTCTCTTCTCTTTTTTATTTTTTTTTTCTAAAAGTTTTTCGGGGCCAGATACTTCGAGCCCTAGCACACAGAGGACATTTTCTCGGGAAACAAACGCCAGGATTTCCCCACAATATGCAGCACCAGAGGCTGAAGCAGCAGCAACAAGCCTTGATGCAGCAAGCTCTCCTCCAGCAGCAGTCTCTCTATCACCCTGGCCTCTTAGCTCCTCCTCAGGTTCTCTCGCTTTCTCTCTTCTATCTCTCATTTCTCTTAGAATACTTGCTTTTTACATCTCTTTTTCAATTTCTATCTGTTCAGTTTTGATTTGCTTAGCCTGTGTTGCTTTTGATCTTCAATCTCGATTTGTCTCGTGTTTGCTTATTCGATTTGATTGTTTCGAACTAGGGTTATGTCGCAATTTTGGTATGTGACGATTCGAGGGTCGTAGTTTGTATGTTTCTCTGTTTTCATTCTCTTTTTTTGGGAACTCATCCTAAATTTCTCACGTCGAGTATATATGAAAAAGGATTTTTGAGCAAGTTATGTGAACAAGATTGAGTTAGTATAAGGTAGAGGTTTCTTGTTTAGGGTTAGAAATTAGTTTTCCTAATGGTTTCGCTTCTATTTGCTTGTTCTTGATTTGGTTGAAGAGCATGACGAGGAATTAATTGTTCTTGAATGAGAAGGTGTGTTCTTGTAAGCATGTTGTTCCATTTCGCGTGTGATTTCAGCTACATGTTCCTTTAAGTTTTTGTTGCTCGTATGGTTAATTTTCCTGCTGTGCTCATTGTGAAAGAAATAACACTACTTAGTCCTTGTATTAAAGGTCTCTTAGCTACTTCAGGCATCGTACTATGCGGTTACTTTCTCCACTTCTGTGGTGGTAAAATGTGCCAATTAACCGTGCATGTGTTTGAGTAGTTTTATTGGCCATAGAAGCTTTTGTTATGCTGGATGTTCTAGAAAATAAAGGAAATGCGCACATGCTGAGACACTAAAGTTGCATCTTTTATAAACAGGAACTGTCTTTGGTTGCTTGGTTATGCAATGGTTCTTGCTTTTCATATGCTTCAAAATAAAATTTTCTAAAGAACAGGAAACAATAGAGTTGTCAGTATGGGTCTTTTCTTGAGTTACTGGAAGTCTTTGATAAAATATGTAATAAGTTTCTCCCTGAATCCTGATGAATTGAGGATATGAACCTTCCTCCAGGAAAGTTTGTATTCATAAATCCTTTACCTACAAATGTAATATTTGTGCTTGACATGTGGATGTTTGGCCTTTTTTTTGGGTTGCTGAAATTATTTGACCTTTTTATAAGATACATGAGGAGTTTCTCCTTGGACCTTCTATTTGACATGTATGCTACATGTGCACGTAATACATTTGTGTGTGACATGTGGGCTAAGCAATTGGAAATTCTGGCTCAGGAAACAATTTCTACTCTATTTCTTTTTCTAAACTGCAACCTAGCTGAAATAAGAGCAGAAAATAGTTGTGGAACTGTAGTATATCTGCAGGTGTCTAGCATTTGCTTGTTTTATATCTTTTTTCCTGATTATGTTTGTGTCCTATTTGAGTATTAGAAGTCAAACTGATAGTTTAATCAAGTAGTCAATCCAAATCTGACCAAGTGACCGTGGTTCTTCTGGTTTATCTTAAGACCTACTTTCTTTTCCAGTCTACTTCTTTCCTTATGTGAAGTCTCAAAATTTCTAGGTTTAGTTGTTTATATTCATTGAACCTTTTTGGTGAAGTATTTTAGATCTGGGTAGAGTGGGAGGGGCTTTTTCTTTATTTTGTTCCCTTTTTTATTTTCTTTTTTCACATTTTTATTTTGCAGATAGAGCCTATCCCAAGTGGAAATCTTCCTCCTGGTTTTGACCCAAGTACTTGCCGCAGTGTGTGAGTGTTTAGATATTTCCCCTTTCTATTTGGATTTCTTTTGTTTGATTCTTGTTTGCTTTTTCATCAGCATGTTCATGCTAGTTCCCATGTCACTTATTGATGTTATGCATGAGTTTGTAGTAATGTTCTTGACTCAATTTTTAATTGACAAAGTTGCTGTATATCTTAGTTAGTATTCTGTTCCAAACTGCTACCTTGGAAAAACTTTCTCAAATTTTGATGGTTATTTGCCAACTATATTGCTTAATATTGCATTTTCTGACAGCTGAGGAAGTTACTTATAGCTGTATTTATTTTTTGTTTTGTTTTTTTTAAAACTTTTAGCTTCTCTATTTTTGAGAAAATGCAGGTATGTCGGAAATATTCACATACAGGTGACAGAGCCACTTCTCCAAGAAGTTTTTGCAAGTACAGGTCCTGTAGAAGGCTGCAAACTTATCCGAAAGGAAAAGGTAAAGGTTGTGACTTGCTTAGGCTGCTTACTGAAGTGTCTTTGGTTGTATTGGCATGCCTTCTCCCCATTAATATTCTGTTTAGGCCTGGCGATGTATTTGCCTATTTTTTCCGTTTTATTAACTAGTTTTCCTGAGACTTTGCATATCATTGACACTCCTTTTATCTGTATTTGTGCAGTCATCCTATGGATTTATTCACTACTTCGATCGTAGATCAGCTGCACTGGCTATTCTTTCACTTAATGGAAGGCATTTGTAAGTAGTACGTTAATGATTTTTTTCTTCTTTAGCTTGGATTTGCTTAAACAATCTATTTGGTAATTTTCAGGTTTGGGCAGCCTATAAAAGTTAATTGGGCATATGCTAGTGGTCAGAGGGAGGATACATCAGGTTGGTACATTTTTTCACTGTTGATATTTTGCTTGAAATATTAATAGTTGATATCTTAGTATTTTGTCAATGGCCCTTATGATATTCTTGTCATGACCTGCAGGTCACTTCAACATTTTTGTTGGAGACCTCAGTCCTGAGGTTACTGATGCAACATTGTTTGCGTGCTTTTCTGTTTATCCGAGTTGTTCGTAAGCTTCTTCTCTTGAATTAATAAACTTTCTCTCATCTCTGTTATGGATATAATGAATTATTTGGGAAAACAGTTTTTTTTTTTTGTTAAAATGCATCTTGTGTTATTATATGTAATGTCTCATTTTGATGTTTATCCATCTGTGCTTTATACTTGTTATAGGGATGCAAGAGTTATGTGGGATCAAAAAACAGGGCGTTCAAGGGGATTTGGGTTTGTTTCTTTCCGGAATCAACAGGTCCGGTTTACGGTTTAGTCTTCTTTTGTGATCTTTCCTTGATGAAATTATTTCTTAGATTGATGTATATCTTCTTTTCGTTGCAGGATGCCCAGAGTGCAATAAATGATTTGACTGGTAAGGATGATGGATTTCATTCATCTAGTTGTTGTCGTCATGTTTGTTGCTTTTAGTCATAAGCATGTTAGAAAATGCTCATGATTATGAGCTCCAGGACTTGTTCTTTGTTTTAATTAATCTGAGCAAAATTATGGGGATTTTTTAGTGTTTAGGTTTGTAATACTAGAGACGAAAGTTTATTTCAGAAAAAAATATTATAAATATAAGTTGAAATTGAAATTGAGAATGCTGTAAATTCACGTAATTCTTTGATTATGGGTTATCGTCTTACTCATTTGGCGATTTTAAGGACCTTATTGACTTTTTGATTGATATATATATCTCTGCATATGGGTTTGCACACGTCTTGGTGCTTGTGAATGAATCACGCCATACTATTTTTATTTTTTTAAAAAATTACGTTATTCTTATTAGCAATCTGTTAAATGTGTTTAGTGGAGCTTTCCTAGCATGATTCTTTCTTGACCAAGAAGAACTTGATTTTAGTTTCAATTTGTTCTTTCAGGAAAGTGGCTTGGTAGTAGACAGATCCGATGTAACTGGGCAACAAAAGGTGCTGGTGCCAATGAGGACAAGCAGAGCTCTGATGCCAAAAGTGTGGTGGAATTGACAAATGGTTCAGGTGCATCGCTTATAAAATGGATTACTTTCATAAAATTGGAGTTTCTTTTTTTCTTGCATGTTAAAATATCTTTCATAAAATTGGAGTTTTTTTTTTGTTTTATGTTCAAATATCTTGACTGGTGCAATATTTTTTGGGTTGTTATCTCCTATTCTGCAACGCTGTAAATTCCATGATTTGTTTGACAAAGAAAACAGGAAGGAGGGAATGGGATTAGTTGAACTTCAAATGTTGTAATTATCATTAAGCTGCTATGCACTTGGCAAACAGATGGGTTCTAAGCTTTTTGACCACTGACCATCCATATCAATCACTTTATGTGTGCAGAAGATGGTAAAGAAACTACAAACAATGAAGCTCCTGAGAACAATCCCCAGTACACCACTGTATATGTGGGCAATCTTGGTCCAGAGGCAAGAAACCATTAACTTGCCTAGATTCTCTTTAGTTTTTTCTTCTCTATATATTGACTTGTCCCAGTACACCGGGGGAAAGATTAAATGATGTCTAGAGAGTGAAGATGATGAATACTGAATTGTTTTAACTTTTTGCAATCTGCAGGTAACACAGCTTGATCTTCATCGCCATTTCCATGCTCTTGCAGCTGGAGTTATTGAGGAGGTCCGTGTCCAGAGAGATAAAGGCTTTGGTTTTGTGAGGTACAGCACTCATGCTGAGGCAGCTCTAGCAATTCAAATGGGGAATTCTCAGTCATTTCTCTGTGGCAAGCAAATTAAGGTTGTTATTCTCCTTCCATTGGTTCTATGCAGTTTCTTTCATTGACCATACTTTTGGATGAGCATATTCTTGCTGTTACTTACATTGTCTGTAATTTATTATCAATTTGGATTGCCAGAATGAGTTTTATTGGTCCAATAGAAGCTGATTTTATTTTTATTTCTTGGTGACCATAGTGCTCTTGGGGCAGCAAGCCGACGCCACCAGGAACAAGTTCTAACCCACTTCCCCCACCTGCGGCTGCACCTTTACCTGGACTCTCGGCCACTGATCTCTTAGCGTATGAGCGTCAAATAGCCATGAGTAAGATGGGTGGTGTCCATGCCCTGATGCAGGGACAACATCCTCTTAAGCAGGCTGCAATGGGAGTGGGTGCTGCTGGAGCAAGCCAAGCTATTTATGATGGTGGATTCCAGAATGTTGCAGCTGCCCAGCAACTCATGTACTATCAGTAATTGTAAGAGTTTCATGCAGAATGCCCCTTTTATTTCCTGCTTTTGCAGGTTTTATTTGAGTGAGTTCTAAACATCTAGGAAGCTTTTAAATGTATTTTTCTCTATCTAGCAGTGAGGTTGTTACTATCTTTTTTCAGTTACAAAATGTTTGCCATATGTATGCACACAATACTTATTTGCAGCTTTTGTTTGAGCTGTAAACGGCTATGAAACTTAACTTACTATTGGTTCAAACTTATTTTATTTTATTTTTAGAATTTACTTACTAATATGGAAAATTAGTCATAATTCATGTATCTGATGCATATTTGGATCAGTTTTACTTAATTTTTTAATTCCAAATGTTTAATCAGAAGAATAATTAATTTGGGGATTAGGTATAAAATTTGTAATCTATTTTTATTTATGTTTTATAAAATTAAAATTTGAATCAAACTATTGTTATATTAGAACTTCGAGTTTCAAAAATTGAATAATTTATATTCTATTTTTTATCAAGATAGAAATTTCAAATCGATTACAGCGGCCTTCTTAATTTCATTTTTTTTGAAACGTCGGATAATTCCTGGTCAGTTATGGCCCCCACTGGGACCTTCAGTTGTTTGCAAATATAAAGTATAAGCCATGCTCCTCTATTAACGCTTGCCGTCTAGCATTGAACTCATGGAAGGTGAGTTAGCTATGTCTCCCTTCCGTTAACAAGAGGTTGGAGCCTCAAAGGTTACAGTCCCTTGAGAGCTGATAAAAAAAAAAAAAAAAAAACACTTTGTAGTCCAGCTTTGACATCTTTGCGGTTTGTTAGGCTTGGTAAATAATGGAGCCCCACCGTCTACAAAAAGAATCACGCCCATCTTTGGATTGACATTAATCAGAAGTTCAGGGTGTTAAAACGAGATGATTCAAGAGTACTTGAATTCAAACATGCAGAAAAAATGAGAACTTACAACATTAAAAGCACATGCCAAAAACCTGATCTGCAAGCTATTGAAACCTCATCTGATATTTCAATTCTCAATTGTGCTACATTATCAGTCTGATTCCAACCTAGCAATGTACTTGTCGTAGAATTTTCCTGCTTTCTCAAGTTCTCCTAGTTCAGTATAACAGTCAGCTATAGCTCCATATGCTTCTGTGTTACCAGAGTCTTCTCCTTCTCGTTCAGAGATTTTTAAAACCATCGAGTGGTATTTAATAGCTTCCCGGTACTTGCCTTGCCTTTGCAGTGAGGCTCCTGAGTCAAACAAATTGCAATAAGAAATTAAAAAAAAAAAAATCAAAATTAAGATGCCATGTGCAAAAAGTACATGTCAGAATGGATATGTCAAGTTTTCTTGCCCAGATATATAGAATTGTGAAGCACATAACCGGGATCCATTAACATAATAGAACATTTGAAGTGCCTGTCAAGCTGCTGCACTTAAATGGCATTTGAAGCCAAAAGTGTTTCTTTGTTCTTCAGATTTCTGCCATTTATGGCAAGGTTCCAAGTTTACAGGCACAGACATTCTTTGTGTTTTGTCAAATTCAAAGCAGCTTGACAAAGAAAATTTTAGGATATGGAACAGAAGGCACAGGCTTAATTCGTAATATAATCAAATATCCAGATAGAAGAAAACAAACCTAAACCCCTTGCAGCCTTCTTTTCTTCAATAGGATCCTTCACACTCTGTGCAAGCTCCAAAGCTGCTTTGAATTCCACAAATGCCTTTTCAGGCTCTTGATTCCTCAAAAAGTTCTTCCCAGTTTTTAATCTAGAAATCAACTCTTGTTTTCTTGGATCAACAATTACTTCATTATCTGGTATTTTACTGCCAACAGGAGCATAACTCAAGCTGGGAGCATAGGACTCAATTTTAGCTTGTCTTCTTAGAGCTGCATTGATCTGGCGCAGCTGTTCATTCAACCGGGCCAGCTCCCCTCTCCTCTGCCGTGCAAGCAAGCCTACCCCATGATGGACAGAACCATTTATTATGTGTAGATTTATATGTGGAGAGTAATCATTTTGTGGATGCTTGATGAAATGTCATGGATGTAAAAGATTTCAATATGCCAAAAGACAGACAGCTTCTTTTGCTTCTTTATGTTATAATTAATTTGTTTTATTAAATTATCAATTACAAAAAGATTATAGATTAATGATTATAAAAAACTTAAAACAAAATAACAGAATTTAATAGTAATTAAATAAAATAAATGAGCAGTTACCAATAGAGAAATTAATAGAAAATTTTTGCTACTTATATATAGGTTATGTATTGTTCTATAACAGCATCTAATTCAGAGTGAATATAATATATTTTTTATTTTCAACATATTTCTCTAGTTATTTTTCAGTTTTATATTTTTGCATCCGCAATAATCTTTATCTTCAGTTTACTTCCAACAACTGGTATTATTAGAGCCTGGTTGGAGAACGGACATTAGCAAAATAGTGAATTTATGTTCATGAAATAAGAAACATTTTTAATTGATGGCTTCAGATGTTTGCGCAAGTATAGCGCAGACAATGGTTTCTATATATTTTGGAGAAAATTATGATATACGAAAGATAAAAATACGAACGTTACTACGATCACAAGAGTTGTTGGATATAGTTGAGAATAGTTATTCTCTATTTGTTGCTGGGCATCAACTAACACAAAGAGAAACAAAGAAATTGGAGGAAGATCAGATGAAGGATGCCAGAGCCTTATTTCTCATACAACAAGGTGTTGCAGAGAGTTTGTTCTCTCAAATAATTGGTGCAACTAGATCAAAAAAAGCGTGAGATATATTGCAAGAAGAGTTTCAGAGATCCGCAAATGTGATGGTCGTAAAGTTGCATACCTTGCGCAGATAATTTCAAAATATGCAAATGAAGGAATTCAAAAAAATAAATGTGTGTTTTTCGAAAGTAATCGAGATCGTGAACTAGCTGTGGAATTTTGGTGAAGAAATTTCTAATTAAAAGGTAGTAGAAAAATTTTTAATTAGCTTATCTGAAAAATATGAATATATTGTTGTAGCAATTGAAAAGTCGAAATCTTTGTCTACTCTTACAATTCAACAATTGATGAGTTCACTGGAGTCACACGAGGCAAGAAAATTGCAGAGTGGGAGCAATTTTGTGGGAAGTGCTTTTAGTACTAGTATTAGAACTCAAATTTTTTTTGAAAAATTAAAAAAATTTTCAGAAAAAAAGTAAATAGAATATGCAAAAGAAACAAAATCAAATTGAAAGAGAAGCAGGTTAGAGTCAAATATATGGTGTGATATATGTAACAAATCGAATCACAATACATCGAGATGTTGGAAGAAGAAATGCTGTAACAAATGCAAGCAGTTCGGCCATATTGCAAAATACTGTACCAGGCTAAAAGTCAAGTTCATGATCGTTGCAAATTTTATAGAAGAAAAATAAAAATTCTAAAAACCATTTTTCT